GAAGAAGAACTTGAAGCAGAGGAAGAAGAAGAACTTGAAGGAGGGGAAGGGGAGTTAGAAGAGGAAGAAGCTGTAGAAGAAGAAACAGAAGAAGTGGAGGAAGAAGCTGAGGAGGAAGCTGAGGAAGAAGCTGAGGAAGAAGCTGAGGAAGAAGAAGAAGAAGAAGAAGAAGAGGAGGAGGGAGATGGAGAAGATGAAGAAGAAGAACCTGAGGAAGAAACTGAAGAACTTGAAGAAGAGCTCGAGGAAGCTGCTGAGGAAGAAGAATCCGAGGATCCTGACGTAGAAGAAGAAACTGCTGAAGAATCGGACCTAGCAGAAGAATCTGAAGAAGATGTAGAAGAGCCCGTTGAGGAAGAAACAGAAGAAGAAGCTCCTGAAGAACCGGAATCAGCAGAAGAGCCTGAAGAAGAGGAAGAACCTGAAGCCGATGACGAAGAAGCTGAAGAAGGGGTGGATGACCCTGCTGATGAAGAACTTGAAGAGCCTGCCGAGGAAGAGTTAGTTGATTCTGGTGTTGCAGAACCAGAAGAAGCTACTGAAGAAGAGATTCCGGCAGAAGAGCCCGAAGAAGAAGTTGAAGAACCTGCTGAGGAAGAGCCAGAAGAAGAAGAGGTGGAAGACCCTGCTGAAGAAGAAGAAGCTGAAGGAGAGGTTGAAGAACCTTCTGAGGAAGAGCCAGCAGAAGAAGAGGTTCAAGACCCTGCTGAGGAAGAAGCAGAAGAGGAACCAGAAGAAGAGGAAGCTGAAGTAGAGGCTGATGAAGAACCAGAAGAAGAAGATGCTGATGAAGCGACACCAGCAGAAGAATCTGAAGAAGAGTTTGAAGAACCCCCTGAGGATGTGACAGAAGAAGCAGCTGAGGTCGAAGTGGAGGAACCTGAACAAGAAAGTGTAGAAGAGGCTGAGGAATCAGAGGAAGAGGCACATGACCCTGTTGAGGAAGAACCAGAAGAAGGGGAAGAAGAAGTAGAAGAACCTGAAGAACCAGTTGTAGAAGAGGCTGAGGAAGACGCGGAAACTGTAGAAGATGTTGAAGAAGAGCCAGAGGAATCTGAAGAAGAAGAACCGGAAGCCGCTGAAGAAGAAGGAGATGATGATGAACTTGCTGAAGGAGAAGCAGAAGAAGTAGTAGATGATGGTGATGAGGAAGAAGAAGTTGAAGCGCCAGAAGAGGAAGCTGGGGAAGAAGTTGAAGAAGCTGCTGAAGAAGAAGCGCCTGAAGAAGAAATAGAAGAAGCTTCTGGCGAGGAAGCCTCAGAAGAAGAGGGAATTGCTGAGGTTGAACCAGAAGCAGAAGAGGCGACTGAAGAAGTAGACACAGCAGAAGGTCATGCTGACGAAGAGCCTTCTGAGGAAGAACTAGAAGAAACTGCTGTTGAAGCAACTGAAGAAGAATTCGATGAAGAAGCAGAAATTCAAGCCGTTCGCGCTTTAGATGCTGTATTGGATGAGGCCGAACAAGAAGAAGAGTTACCTCAAGATGAAGAAGAAGTGAACCTGGGGGAAGAAGTCGATGTTGAACCAGTAGTAGAGCTTGTAGAGGTAGAAGAGGTAGCAAATTTAGAAGAGGCTGAAGAACATGAAGTGGGACCGCAACCGTTATTGGAAGTGGTTGAAGAAGAGCTAGAGGTCGAAGATGATAAGGTAGAAGTGTTGGATGAAAGGGTCAACGGGTTGGATGAGCCTAAAACGGTAAGTGAAGAGCAAGAAGACGATGACGATGACGATGACGATGAGGAGGAGGATAATGTGCAAAAGTTCGAGTGCCGACCGCGAAGGGTAAGTCATGATGGCAAGAAAAATTTGCGACACGGTTACATAAGCATATGCATACATATAAACACATTTACACAAGCTTTTACATATCGTCACCTTAATTCACAAAGGCCCTAGCCAACAAATTTTTTTATTTTACGGGAGAAGCAAATACAGGTGAGGGTTTTTTGAAATGTGGCATGTAACTCCGTTGTTTTTGATACTAACACTTCAAAATTTTTATTAAAGTTGTTTTTGAATACATCCTACAAAAATCTGTGAAAAACGGAGTTTCGGAAAAAGTGTTGGTTAGGGCCTTTGTGAATTAAAGCAACGATATACACTTACATACATATATAAACGTATTATAATTACATGCACTTACAAACACATACAAATAGCATATTCACCCTGCAAAAAATGCGACTAATCCGGGATGACTTCGGGAGCAATTGCGAAGGAACATGCGACTAATACACCTTTTGATCTCCTTATTTATATGGAATGAACTGTTCGCTTTTGTTCGAGCATGTCCTATGAAGTGACTAATTATTCCCCTTTATACCCGAACGGGTGCACAAAGCGACTATTCATTTTTAACAAAAATAAAAATTTGCGCCAGCCGCGCGATTCGAACCATGGCGCTCAGGTTTGTTAAGCGAATACTCTCTCTTTGTGCCAATGCCGCACATGAAATCTTATTGACTAAGTGCGCACATATCATTAAATCGTTAATAGTACCCGTTGGAGATCAGCCGGGGACTAATTGATCTCCAATTATACCCGTATGAGACCAGTTGCGACTAATTAATACCCAATTGTACCCCCGATTGAGAGTAGTCTCGGAATACTCTCTTTAGAGATTAGTCGCATAATTTTTTGCAGGGCATAATTACCACACACGTACAAACATATACATATACACGCATTCCAAGTACGTAGTTATTGTATTTACCTATGTACATAAAAAACATACATATGCAGCTTATGCTACGCATCCCAGCGGAAAAGAAGTAATGCATTACATCCGCGATAAATAACGTAATTCGATTCTTACGAGTTTTAGATTCTATTACTGCTTAATATGTAATTAGCATTCCTATCTAATCCAAAAAGTGTCAAAAAAGTCATATTAAATCACATAGATTCCACGATTACTAGGCTATGCAAAATTGAATGCCCTCCTTCCCGTTTTACTGATTATTTTTCGATTACCATACATCACCTTTACCCACTGGGATGTAGATGAAAAATGGCAGACTTCAGTGTGTGTGTAGCGAATTCCGATAGTACTGGGACAATAAAACTCTGACATTCACGAGTGGCCGTCTCACACTTCAAGTATTAAAGCCCACCTTCTTCAAGCGCATAATTCAAAGGTATGAAGTAGATATACTACATATCAGGGATGTGGCGAATGTGGAATTTTAGACATCCGCTAACAGCTAACATCCGCGGATGCGGATGCGAATGCGGATGTCAAGTAT